GCCAGTTGGCAAATGTGCAGAAGCCTGAGCATTGCATTTGTGATCGAGTGATCATGATTGCAGTGCTTTCCAGGCTTGAATGCAAATATTAAAGAAATGCATATTTTATATATATATTATGAATGATACATTTCTTTCATTTTTGCAAAAGGTGAGCTTCTCCTATATGGTGGATCAGTATGCTCATTGTGAACCAGGCCTTAAAGTCCTGTTCCTGGAGCAGCTGCCTCTTTTTCCAATATCTCCTGCAAAGCTCAGTTATTTACCAATCATACACCAAAATCAGGAGTTGACAAATAATTTTATCCAAGGTTTTCCTGGGGCACAGAAGGTATAATATTGCCACTCTGTCTAAACGAAAGCCTTCACAGATATGCAACTCTGGCTGTTAAGACCTTTGTTTCCCTCAAAAGGTAGGCACATGTGGAGTTGGGTGGACAGAGGTAGTCCTACACAAGATCCTTATCCTACAGTCCAACAACCCATTGACTGCAATTCCTAGAATGATCAAAGTCTGAGAACTTCTCTTCTGAAGTTTTCCATAAACTTCCAAAGGTCATCACCACAATGAGAACCGAGCTTCCCCGAAAGTAAGACCTAGCACTATCTTTAGGGATTCCTTTAATATAAGACCTACCCCGAAAAAAAGACCTAGTTCGGTGGTAGGGGGACGCACATGTATTCCTGCACCCAAGCAGCCAGCCAGGGGTCCGAGAGTAACATTCAATTATATGATCAGCTGGTCTCCTGAAGTCTGCATGTGTAAAACATGTCAAGGACCGCAAAACATTTCATGCATACACAGGGATCCCAACCTGAAAGAAGCAATTTCAGGGAGGTCTCCCTCTCATTTCAGGGAGGTGCTTGGGAGAGAGCACCCCCCTGAAATGATGGCAGATTTGTTTAATCTGCTCGATCGAGCAGATGAAACCTTTCCGGGAGGAAGTGTTTCTCTCTCGGGCGGCCGGGAGCCGCTATCTAATAGCGGGAGACTCCCGAAGCGTCCGGAAGAGTTGGGATGTCTGCATGCACGGCGAGGACTGTCACACACCTGTCTGCCTCGGCTTTTACGGTACATAGAGAGCTGCCGCTGAAAACGACATTTCTCAGCAGGCAGCGGCACAGCGCGGCATGGCCAGTGGGGTCGGAGTAAGGTCAGGTAAGGTGAGGGAACTTCTGACTGGAGTTCCATGCGACGAGGCGGCTCCCTGGACGATAGGGTTGCCAACTTTTCTGCAAGCGAAACCCGAACACTCTAGCGACGCGCAGACGTTTTTTGGGAGAATGAGTCGCGGCTTATTCATATATAAATAGTGCCACCCATTCATATGTAAATATCACAGTTGAGACTATTTTCAGTGGGGGGTCAGTGGCCCCTATCTTAATTTTGGTTGCCCCTGTCTGTCTGACATCTTGTGTCCGGGTTTCTGCTGCCATGAAACACGGACACAGCATTTAAAACCCGAACTGTCCGGGTGAATCCTGGACAGGTGGCAAGCGTAGGTGCAGGTTCGCCAGGACGTGTGTCCCTGTGCCTTTAAGGAGGAATCGGCTGCCTGTCAAGAAAGGGAGTTAGGGAGTCTGAGCCTGGCAATTACAACAATTTGTATCAGAGGGGAGACTGAGGAAATGCTTCCTCTTGTCTGTAGCAGACTGATGATGTCATCTCAGCCTTGGCACTAGGGTTGCCACCTTTTCTTCCAGCGAAACAAAACACTCTAGCGACGCACGGAAATGGTTTTTGGGGAGAATGAGTCACAGCCTTTTCATATGCAAATATCACAGTCCAGACTATTTACAGTGGGGGGCCAGTAGCCCCTATCTGAATTTTGGTTGCCCCTGTCTGCCTGACATCTTGTGTCCGGGTTCCTGCTGCCATGAAACCTGGACACAGCATTCAAAACCCGGACTGTCCGGGTGAATCCTGGACAGGTGGCAACCCTAATGGATGGAATCAGAGAGGAGAGCACCAGGACAGTTGCAGCCTGCAGGTATTGTGACACTGTGTGTGACAGTATTTTTTCATTTTGTTGTACATAAAAAAAAATAAGACATCCCCCGAGAATAAGACCTAGTGTGTTGTTTTTTTTTGGGGGGGGTCACTGGTCACAGATCCTGCCACTGGATCACAGCAGTATTTGCAGACAGTGGATTGCGGAGGTGTGGTATTGACTGAATTAATTCATGTTCTCTGATCTTCAGGTTCTCTATCACTAGGAAAGTGAAGCTCTTTAATACTATTCTACAACAGTTTAGTTCTGTCAGTCTTCTGGCATCCTAAAAACCCTCCAGACATACTAAGGTTTGAAGACAGCAAAAGGATGCCACCGGCAGTGGTGGACGCTACTTTGGGTGGGGAAAACGCCAGAACATTGTAACTGAACAAACCTTGGGTGGTGTCAAGAGTCACTTGAGAGGTGGTTAGTTCAGTTGTTTGAGCTTGCCTGGCTGTAGTGACCTCTGGCCTTGGTGTCTCAGAGACTAGTGAAACACAAAACACAGAACAATGTCTATTGGCTACTTTGAAAGATTTTCTTTTGGCCAACGAAGAACCAAAACAATTGTACTCCTACAGATTCAAAGAGTTTAAAGACACGCAGCATGTACATCAAATGTTTGCAATACTGTGAATGACTGACAAACACTCTATTTTCAGAACATTTATGATTCTTAAACTCATTGGGGGGAATTTATCAAAACTGGAGCAGATTTGCACTGCAGCCAATCAGCTTCTCTGTCTCAGCAAACTGAAAAGAGATGCTGATTGGTTGCCATGGGCAACTGCTCCAGATTCTGTTTGCTCCAGTTTTGACAAATTTGCCCCATTGCGGTTGTCTTGACACATGGTAACCAACATTATGACTAAGAGAAGTCCTTGTCCTTGTTTAAAAAGGAAACATTGTGAAATACGGGGAATCCTTGTGTTAGGATAAAGCTGTCTGAATTGTTAAACACAGACATTTGTTCTTTAGAAAAAATAACTGAAACAGTGCTAGTTACTTATAGTAGTAGTTACTAAGATGAAAAGCTGTAGTTACTTATAGTAGTAGTTACTAAGATGAAAAGCTGTAGTTACGTATAGTGGTACCTCGGTTCACGATTCTGGTTGTGAACCGAATTGGTCGCGAACTGAATCAAACTGTGATCAGGCCGCGATCTCGACTAGAGGAATGTCTATGTAAGGTGTTTGATCCTTCACTACTGTGTCATTCTGAGCCTGAGGAAGGGGACCCCCTGAGGCCCCGAAAGCGCTTGCATTTGAATTACAATGTGCCAATAAATGGACTGTTGCTTAATCATCCTTTGGAGTGCTGGTGACGTTATTTCTTTATCTCGACTAGAGGAAGCCACAACCACGTGTCAGAGCAGGTAAGACGGCTGTGGTTGTGTTCGTCACCCGATGCGAAGTTTGCGAACGGAAGCAAAATTTTGCCGAACTTCCTGTTCGCGAACAATTCGATTCGTGAACCGAGGTACCGCTGTAGTAGTTACGAAGAATAAAAGCTGTAGTTACTTATGTCTATCACAAGATGGCGCTGCAGAACCGATAATAAACACTACGCCAAATCACCAACAAGCAACTTACAGATACGAACTGTCACAATAAAAAAAGGAAAAGGTGAATAGTATAAACTGGTGCCACATAAAATATAAATACATTAGTGTTCTTTATATAAAGATTTGCTTATTTTTGCACCACTTCTGACATCCCGGTGGCTTTCTCTACAAAGTAGAAACAGATTTAGAAACGTTACTGTATAACCTTGACCTCTGTTACTCGCAATGAAATTAACAGTTATTTATGCTTAAAAATGTAAATCCCACATGTCAATGTGCCATTGTTCTGAATACCCAGATATACACATGCTCATGAGATATACAATTTTTGTTTGCCATTGCTCTTGTACCCTCAATGTCACAGTGCCACTGTTGCAAGGTCTGCACTGTCAATGTGCCATTGTTCTGGGATCCTCAGTGTTTGCATGGCACTGTTCTGGGATCCCTAATGTCAGTGTGCTGTTATTGTGAGATGTATGTCTCTCTGTCTATAGATCCAGCATTACAATCCCACAATGACACACCAGTTTAAAAATTGCACATGCCCCATACCTGGATCCCTCTCTAAAATCAAGAAAGACATTCTGAGACACTGTCTACTAGGAGCAAGAGTTGCAATATCACAGCACTGACAGGGTTATTCACAAAAGGGTGAAGAGTTTGGAGAAGGCAACAATCTAGGACAACATAGCTGAACTAGAATGTTCACTTCTCCTGCCTTCTCCAAACTCTTCACCCTTTTGTGAATAACCCTGTGAAAATCTATCATTCCTCCTCGCGTTGTGGAGTGGGAACAGATTCTTATTGCATTGACCATGGAGACCCAGGCGGCATCTGACCTAAACAAATCTGAAGAGGCTTTCTTAACCTGGTCCTGTTGGCTGATTCACAGGAACTCGGACACTTGTAAAGCTTTTGACCAGACAATAACTGGAGTCCATTAGCTCTACAACATTAAGAGTGTTCTAACTTTTCTGCCCCCACTCTACCTTTAGGCCCTACGAGATGAACCTTTTTCAGTAGATGTACCATTGCCAGATATTGTCTCTGTTCAAGGGATTTCTGAACCCCAATGTAACAATCACTGTACCACATACCTCTCGTTTCATCCTCCATCCCCTCGTTTGTTACTGTTTTCTCTAGTACAATTCTGTTCTGACTTTTGTATTATAAAGCTTCAATAAAGATATATTTGAACCAAAAAATACACACAACCCTTGACCATTGGCATGCTCTGAGAGCTTTTTTGGTTTCACTGGCAGGTTCTTGAACCAAGCTGGGGGTCTCACACACATCTAGGAGTGCACACACACACCAACAAAACAAGCCGCTGACCACAGTGAGCATTCTATGAGGATGCAGGGAGGTGGGAAGAGGGAGAAATGAGATCATGGATATGGGATGGAAAGGACAAGACAAGGACATTCCAGGGATCTACTCACTGCCGAGAGCGGAACCTGATGCTGCACCTGGAAAAGAAAATTAGCGAGTTAGCCTGAGGTACTGCTTGACCAAAAATATTGTAAGAGCAGGAAAAAGCTCATCTTCAAAAGAAGCGGATATTCCCATTCTTCAAAGTGGATCGTTTCTTTCATCATAGCTAAAACTGGAACAAAGTTTACATTAATTAGTCAAATTCCTTTAGAACTGTACTGTATCAAATTAGGTATGCTAAATTTGATCAGATCCAAAACTTCCAATACATCTAATGTGGACAAGAAAAGCTTTTTCTCCACAAAGCAGCTTTACTGAAGACTTAATATTGAAAAAACTGTCCAGATGTCTTCACTTTGCTCCTGTTTGAGACTCCTTGAAAATCGCAGCCAAAAGTGGATCCAAACTAAAAGCAAAGGGTTTCTGAAGCCGAGCTATTTTGTTGCAAAAGTGGGAGTAGGAGCAGGCTCAGAGCTGTTAGGAAATTGTTAAAACTATGAGAGGCTTCCTACCAAAGGACACCCAGCATTCATCCATGAGTGGCCAGTTTATTATGACCACCTGATGTTTGTAGGCACATTGGCTATAATTAGCTATAATTTCGCGCTGAAGATGCTAGAGGGCCAGACCATTATAAATAGGGAAGCAGGTTGTTTACCACGACAGTAGAAGATATTTTTTTCTGAAGATACGGGTAAACAACGCGATTTAACAACCTTTGAACGTGGGATGATTGTTGGCACTCTGAGCCATGGAGCGAGTATCAGCAAAACAGCAGAATTCGTTAAATGTTCAAGAGAGGCTCATTGTTAAAGTGTTTAAAGACTGGACTGTCAGCCGAAAATCTGGGTCTGAACGTGCGAAATGTGGCCGTCAGCGACTAGTCAATGTTAGGGCAGAACGGAGAGTGGCAAGACTGGTACAAGACAACAGAAGGGCAACAGTGCAGTGTCAGATTCCTCACATCACCTTTCAACATCTCGTGGAGTCACGAGGCGGCCCAACGAAGTACTGATGGGGTGGTCATAAAAATCTGGCCACTCAGTGTATGGACGGATTTCTCACTTACTGTCTAAAAGTTGAAAACCTCTTCTAAAAAAGGACTGTCACAAAGCTTGGCTATGCATACTAAGCATATGTCTTAAAAATACAAAGTAGAGTTTATTGTAACTTCAGGGAAACAAACAAATCAAAATAATCAGTATGTTCTTCTTGTATTTGTGTGGATTTTCTACAGGGGCTTCAGTCTCCACCCATAACCCAGAATATACTGGTATGTTAATTAGTTTTTTGCTAAGCAAGCCCTACTGCAAGTGCGTATATTTGTGGCAGAGCATTTGGTTGAAAGTTCTTTTGGGTGGGGATTTAAGGAAAGACCTTTAGCCTGGGGGGCAAACAGAACCAACTAGTCCTTTCATGGTAGCAACAAACTTCTCTACAAAGCCATGGTAGCTCATTGATTGGTGGGCATGGTAAATGGTGGGCTTTTCTAATGGACATGGTTTGTTTTAACACATCTTCCAGAATGTGCTGGAAGTACAGGGAAACGGTAGCTTTATAATGCCAACCAAATGTCACAGACTGCGGCAACTCTGATCAAGGTCTGAATTGTGGAATATCTCCACTCATAGCCACCAGCCCAGTATATCTTGTTAATACTGGCCCAGGGGGCAAATTCTTCCCTGTTCCCCAGCTCAGCCCTCCCCTAAGGGAAATGATAGAAGTGTTTCTATGTACTCTGTGAAGCAGTATATGGTAAATAATAATAATATGTGCAGCAAAGTTACATAAATGTCAGATATCTGGTTTCCTTTGCTGGTGTGTGCAATTCCGCCTATAACATATTTGTAAATGTTATAAGGAACTCTTTATAAAAGTAACCTTTCATCTACAGCTCACTGGTCCTTTAAATTCACCCGGGGAAAGGCCGAGACAGAAGATAGAGAGTGTTCAAAAATACAGAGAACAAGGATCTTAGTCTAAGCCCTGCGTGTCTTTGTCAGGTCCTTTGAAGGGATACAGGCGACCGGCTCAATCTGACAAGCTTGTTCCCTTTGAAATCTTTCCTATCTCCGCAGTAACGGTGACACCCCAGTCACAGTCCTATGAATGCTTCAGTTTTAGCTTTGATCAATTTAAAGTGCAGATGTTTAAAGCAAAAATGAGAGGAAGAAGAGAGAGAGAGAGAGAAAAAAAACAGCAAACCAAGGGTCTCTTTAGAAAACTCTAAGAGGACATCATCTCTGAAGTGATTGTATTTTGTGCATCTAGTGAATGTTTAACAAGATAATCTATCTGTAATTTTCCTCTGCTTGACACAACAGTTTAATCTTGTTCACTTCTCAGCCTCTGAGTGAGCTCAGGAGAATGCAAGGTGCCTTAAAGCATTCTTGGAGGGAGAAAAAGATGATGAAACCAGTACTTTTCTTGTGTTGGATGACTTTACACTAGGTCTGTTTCTCTGTCCAGTGCCCCGGCATCTCTGATGAATGTTTTTCTGGTTACTGGCTCTGGTCTTCCCCATCCTGAGCTTCATTGTTGGGTCATCACTGTGAAGTGCAGCCTTCTTAACCAATAATCAAGAACTAAAAGTGGACAAACGTGGTCATTGTCTGCAGGAACAAGCACTCCACTATCGGGAGATGTTGTGGCAAAGGACAGTGGCACACACCTGGCCTGCAAGTGATTACTAGGCCTGTTTCTCTCTCCAGGCCCAAGGAGTCTTGGAACAAAAGTGTGCTTGTTTTTGGTCACTGGCTTTGGCCTTTCCCCCTCCTGTATCTCATTGTTGGCCATCACTGTGAAGGGCAGCTTTACTAACTTCTTTATGAGGAACTAGAGGTGCATAATAGGCCAGAACCAGTGCTGATCATTGTTTGGATAAAGAAGCACCCCTCTATTTGGAGATAATGGATATAGGAACTGGGTAATGGATATAGGAACTGGTGTTCAGAGGTATACAAGATAAGTATCTGTTTAATCATGTCTTTATCTCCACCATTTTACTAGCCCTGGAAATTTCCAAATAGAGATTGAGAAAGTTTTCTATACAATCTTGATCATTGTCCTAAGAAAACGGTAACTTAGGGCCTGCTTTGTAGATATTACTGCATGCCCTAAAATGTCTGGAAACAGAACAAAAAGTCACTTTCCATGTATAAGATTAACAAATATCTTGTCAAATATCAAAAGGCAGGGATAGGCTATATGGTCATATCAGGGTTTTACCGTCGCAAGGATATGGTCAAGATGTTGGGTTTACTTTGTATGACCAGCTTAGGCTCTCTTTGTGTTTTAAATGGCTACATGACACACCATAATTTTTTAGAGGAACAAAGCCTTTCCACCAGAGGCCTGCTCTGCATGAAGGTTTTATATTTTGTATGTATTTGCATTGACAGTATCTTATACGTCCTCTACACAGCAGAAGTTGCTAAACCACGTTTCCTATATGTCCTCTACACAGCAGAAGTTGCTAAACCACGTTTTCTCTTTAATTGTCTGGCAATTCGTCTCAATCTGGTGTAAAGATCGGAGACAAAGTAAATGGTCAGCCCAGGAAATCTGATTTTTCTAATAAGGAGACAGGTAATTTAAAAACTGAAATTTTGAACACTCTGCTTACAAGCATTGGGAGATCCATGAGGTATTGGGGTGTAAGAGCCGGAACGCCATGAGCGGTTGCGAAAACTCTTCTTGCACCTGCCGCAGTCCTGTCCGGTGGTGTTATGCTCACACTCACACTGCAAGGCCCCCTCACGAAAATTACACGCATTGGCATGTAAGTTACATTTACACCTGCATATAACAAAGAATAAGATCACTATATCATGAAGATAGTTAAAGACCAGTATAATACATCAACAAAGACCAGTATAATACATCAACACTTCATGCTTTTTGTTAATCAAGAGGCCATTAGACTGAAGCTGGACAAGCACATAACAATCATGTACTATAATGTCCATGATTGCATGGGCACTTCAATGGGGTGCAAGGGCATACTGTAGAGATACCAAGTGAAATGCTGGCCACACACACACTAGAATATGATTGTAAAACCTTCTCTTTAGCAAAAAGGGTCCACCTGGTTGGATTTCATTAAATTACTCTTTAAATCGGACCTTTACAAAGCGGACCTTTACACTCAAAAATCAAATTTTACCAATGCATCCCTCTATGTATGATGATTAATAATACCATAGACATGTCAGGTGTAAAATGCTGTGATTTTGAAATACTTACACTTGCAGAGCATTCACTTCCTGCTTTGAAAGGGCAAAATGACTTTAGTTTGCCAAAGCAATGCACTCTGGGATTGGCTTGTCATCAGCAGAACATGGCTGGGAAAATCTCATCTGTAATCTCACAAGATCTCAGGGAAAGGCATTTTCCTCCCCCTGAGATGATGTGCATGGTCACATGTCCGAGTCACATGTCTAGTCACATGTGCCAGAATTCCAGGAAGTAAAAGAAGAGCTAGTAATCTGCCCTTAGTAAACATGGCCACTGCCAGAAGTCTGGGAAAGAAAAGAGAAATAAGGTATGCAAAGAATACAAAGCCTGCACTTATCTATAAGTATGTGTTTGTATATGGTCATTACTAAACATGTCTAAAGGTGTGGTTGTTGTTATTTTAAAGCTCCACTTTAATAGTTATTGGTAAAAGGAGATTGCACCATCAGATTGAGACATATGTGGCCAGCTAGGTTATGTCAGGGCACACTATGTGAAAGATTTTAACAGAATTGTTGTCTAATGTTTCCTGTTGGCACATGTTGGCTTTGATGCGCAAGCCAAATATAGCATAAAATATTATTAATATTATTTTATAATACTAGCCAAAAATATTTATGTAAAAGTTTCCAGGAATTTTTGTTCCAAACAAAATAAATCCTGACTGGCAATAAACTCTCTTTCCATGACCAAGTCGCATCTACATTTCAACCATGTCCACTTGCATAGCAAACAGCGAGGCTGTGAATTATTTAATGTCTCTGGCCCACTGCTTCCCTCACCTGACACTCTAATCAGAGAGGTTATTGGAGAAAAGTCCCACACATGCACATTGCTACACAACACTTGAGCGCACACAGGCGGAATTCAAAATTCCACACACAGAAGCCTTCAGGATTCTGCAGGCTGAATTTAACTCTCTTAGATCATGTACTGTCTCTTCCAATATGACTCTGCTTTATGCATGCAAATGAGGCCTGAATAGTTAGATTTTTCACCCGTTGCAGATGTTCCAGCAGTCAGATGAAATGTACTAGTTACTTTCAGTGTTTTAGATGGCTGAGAAGTCTCCGGGTGGACACATTTTTTACACTGTGGGGGTGATGTGCAAAAACTGGCGCAAGGAAAGACATTCTAGACGAGTGTTATCCAAATAAGGTTCAATGAAACCCTAGGGTTTCTCCAGAGGTTGCTAGGGGTTCCTTTAACAGAGAGCAATGGTGAATTGACCTCCCACCTACGCTGGCCACCAATGTAAGGGGGCAAGTGTCCATTAACCACCAATGTAAGAGGTCACTTCTTCATTGACCACTAATGTTGAAGGACATCACAATTTTTACTATCTCTCTTTTCTGCAGTTATTATTTATGTAAAAAATATTACTGAAAATTATTTTGTAGGCGGTTGGTAACAAAATTATCTACCGAAGGTGTCAAATACGTTAGGTATGCCGAACTACATATTCTTTTATTTCAAACTTTCTTAAACTTATTGATCATGCCTATATACCATGAGCTGTGGGTATAATTCTTTTTAGCAGGGGGTCCCCAAGAACATGAAAATTATTCCTTAGGGGTAAAAACTGGTTCAGAATGGTTCAAAACTGGCTATATACTGAGTGAAGTTGGGTCAAATCCTGAAGAATCAGCTGAAATTCACGCAGCGGGTAGCCCTGTCCAAATTTCCTTGAACTTAAAAATCAAAGGAGTCAGAAGGCCAAACAACAACGGCATCCAATCAGCTGCAGGTGGGGCTGGCAAGCAAAATACAATAGCATGCATAGAGGAATCTGTCATATTTTTTCTGTTAATCTCGATAGCTGATTGAAAAAAAAAAATCAAATAATGTAGACCCAGCTTAAGGCCAGTATACAATATGTTGAGCTAAATGGACTATCTTGCAGCTTCTTTTTGAGACGTTCCTCCCTGTAGTGGTCAGTCATAGGGACACATATACTATGTAAATAAAGCTACAGAAAGCTGCAGACATTCCTTGCAAGGAACTAAGGACATGCTACAGGAGATGGTCAGAGATTTGGAACATGCTATATAGTAGTTGGACACTAGAGACCGCCATAGACTGGACAACCCTTACACTACCAAAGATCACAACCATTACTGCTCCTTTACAAATCAATGCTCTGTACAGCCCCTTTAAAAATCAGCCCCCTTAAAAATTACTTGTGCCACATTTGATATTACTGTCAGCAAGATCCATTATATAAGATCAGAGGAAAAAGCATATAAAGTAAAAAAGGAATGAACAGTTAAAAAAGTAAAATATTGTAAAAATAAATAAAAAAGCCATTTAACTACCAGAGCCCAATCTAAAGAATATTTTCCTTCCCTGGCCTGAATAAGCACTTATAGTAGGCAAAGAAAACACAGACTACTATCTGCAGGGACTCTGGGGGCTGCACAGTAATTGTCTTTAGCGTAGATGAAGGAATCTGTTTTTTTTTTTTCATTCAACAAAAAAGAAAAACAAAAAAATCCAATAGTGCATGGCCTGTTTAATGAGTTTCCCATGCATTTAAATCTACCACAATGCATTTTACAAAACAGCTAGATGCAGACAATGTGCAGTAAAAAGAAAAAACCAAAAACACCGCACATCAGCAATACATACCTGATCTCAGTGAGCTGACATGAAGAAGCTCGACTAGTTCAGACAACTGTTGAATGGATGTGATGAGGGAAAGCCTCGGAATTCATAGAGTAGACTGCAGTGTTGCAGCAGCCACCTCTACCTAGGAGTTACGCTAATTACTTCAGAATTGATTCACTTCTCTAGAATCAGACCCTGGTTAACTGGCTGTATCTGAACATCGCCCATGCCTGATTAACTTCAATTAGACCCTTTTAGGCCATCACCGGTGATGGAGTGAAATAGGAAGGAGCAGAGATACCGGGATGCTATACTATTGAGTAGGGAGACAAATGAGACCAGGAGGGAAGGAACAAGTATCATTATGTACCTGTGGATAGTATTGATTTCATTATTATCTTAGGTATGAATAAATGGATAGCGGTCCTCTTAGTAGGACAAAGGGAAGCCATTAAGTTTAAAGAAAACTATGAAGTATTTTCAGTGGAAACTCATTTTAGCTAATGTTCACCCTGATATTCATTTTTGATGTGATATTTATGATTTTTATGACCATGTAGTTTATAGAGAGATTTGAAGGTTCTAAGACTATACTATAGTAACATAGTTACATAGTATTTAAGGTTGAATAAAGACACAGGTCCATCAAGTTCAACCCATAGCGTGTATGTATGTGATTCCGCATGCGTATGCATGTGTATGAGTCCCTATGATCTTGTTTTTAAGGGTACCTGTACCCAGGGCCGGCCTTAGGCCTTCAGGCGCCCTGTGCGAGAAAGCTTTACAGCGCCCCTCAGTGACCACACCCCTCAGTGGCCACACCCTTTAGTGGCCACACCCCAGTAACCACACCCATTTATCACCCATATTTTTGGTAAAATATAAAAAGACGGGGTCACGTCGGGTAAATAGACACCAAACATGTCATGCTTTAAAATTGCGCGCACCCACAAAATCGCAAAAAATGACCATGCCCAAAATTGACCATAGGTGACGCTTTAAAAGCTTTTACCGCTCATCAGTTTAGTGTTATCAGTGATTGATAGCCCTACAATTATTGCTCTCATTCTGACGTTTGCGGTGATATGTAACATGTGCGGCGTAATGGATGAAATCGTCGTTTTCACACGTATGCGCACCCGACGCCTGTTTGCATGCGTGTATGTATGTGGGGGGCTTTAAAAAAAAATTAATTCTTTTTTATTTGTAACTTTACATTTTTGGGGGGGAAACTTTATTGCTATCACATAGGGGGGTTAGAAAACCCCCTTATGTGATAGCAAAATATGTGACAGGTCCTCTTTATGGAGACATCAGGGGTCTCCAAGACCCCTAATGTCACCTAGGACCCCCCTGAAGAAGCTGATGAAGCAAAGATCTGCTTCATCAGCTTCTCTCCAGCATCTGAAGCTGGAGAGTGACACAAGAATGCGGAAGTGATGTAATATACACCACTTCCGCATTCTGACAGCGGAGAGGGGACCGGAGGGAGCTCGTGTACCGAGCTCCCTCTGATCCCCTGTGACAGAGGCCATATGCTGGTCCCGGGCTCGCACTGGGCACAGCAGAGCCCGGGACCAGCTTGACAGCGGGAGGGGGGGAGCCGGGGAGGGCGCAATTCACGGGACCTCATACAAGCGATCCGCCGGCTCTATAGCCGGCGGATCGCTTGTATGTTAACAGGCATCGCTGCCTGTTTTCAAATAACGGGCATTTCCCGCTCGCGAGCGCCCAGCGGTGCGCGCGAGGGGGCGTGGCTGAGCGGACGTCTAAAGACGCCCGCTCAGATCTAGAGAGCTCCTGGCCGGCCGTTTTTTTACAACGGCCGGCCGGGAAGTGGTTAAAATCATTTTTTTAATTTTTTTATTTATTTTTTACTGTTGGGGGGGCTTTGGGAAATATTAGGGGTCCAAACAGACCCCTGACATTTCCCTTTTAAAATAGAAAAGAAATTG